CTGCCGAAGCTGAGTATCGTGCTATGGCTCATGCTACTGCTGAAGTTGTCTGGCTTCGTTGTCTTCTCTCTGACTTGGGCGTCCCTCAGTCTTCTCCGACCTCCCTTTATTGTGACAACCACAGTGCTATTCAGATTGCACATAACACTGTCTTCCATGAGCAGACCAAGCACATCGAGATTGATTGTCACTTTGTTCGTCAGCATCTGCAATCTGGCTCTATCTCGCTTCCTTTCGTCTCTTCGGCTCTGCAACTTGTTGACTTCTTTACCAAGACTTACACCATTGCTCGATTTCAGTTTCTACTTGGCAAACTCTCAGTGTTTTCTGCCCAAATACCTTGAGTTTGAGCGGGGGTGTGAGAATAATATTAGTATAGGGTTTATTCATATTAGTTTAGGATTTATTCTGTGAATATTGTTTCCTTTTAGGATTAGGTCTATTGTTTATTGTTTCCTATTTAGGATTAGGTCTAGAATTGCTATATATATCAAATGTACATATTGTATTGCAACACACAATTGAATATACAGAAAAGCTTTCAGGAATCTTACAGCAAGAACAACTGGTTCCACTATAGGAATCACAAGAATCAATTCACACCAAGGCTCCCCCTTAAGGGAGGACTGTAACACCGGAGAGAACAAGAAATAGGATTGGGACTCAAAGAATGTGACATTCATGGACACAAACCACTTACGAGAAGGAGGGTGGTAACACTTATACCCTTTTTTAGTAGGAGAGTACCCAAGGAAAACACATTTGAGGGACCTAGGGTCCAACTTACCACGAGTAGGAGAGTGATTGTGGACAAAACAGATACAGCCAAATATTTTTGGAGAAATAGAAAATAAGGACTCAGAACCTAAAAGGACTTGAAGGAGAGCTTGTTTGTTCAAGACCTGGGTAGAAAGACGATTAATAAGATGGGCAGCAGTGAGAACAGCGTCGCCACAGTAGGATCGAGGCACGCCCATAGAAAAACACATGCACCGAGCCATGTCAAGAAGATGACAGATTCTTGCATTCCACCACCCCATTTTGTTGAGGGGTATTGGTGCAAGAGATCTGATGGATAATGCCATGAGCAAAAAAATGTTGCCCTAACCCAAAATCTACGTATTCCCCCCCATTATCAAAACGGAAGATTTTGACAGTGGCCCTAAACTGAGTACAAATCATCTTATAAAAAGTGCGGAACATTGAAAAAACCTCACTCTTGTCCTTCATGAGATACACCCAAGTAGTACAACAAAAATCATCCATGAATGTAACAAACCATCGATGACCTTTCATAGACATAACACGAGATGGACCCCAAACATCAGAATGTATTAATAAAAAACGAACTAAACTTTTAGTAAAATTAGGAGCAAAAGAAGCTGTGTTGTTTCCCAAGTTGACAAGACTCACGAAGAAACTTAGACATATTATTGTTTGCAAAACCAGATGGAAATAAATGTTTAAATAAATAAAAATAAGGATACCCAAGACGCCAATACCACAACCATAAATCATCTTGGGTAGTAGGACTCGTGGTGGAAGAATAAGCAAGCTTGTCTGGTTGATCCAAGAAGTAGAGACCATTTTCCGCACTACCATTGCCAATCGTCCTCCTTGTGATAAGGTCCTGAAAAAAACAATGATCAGGAAAAAAAGGCACACAACAATTCAAATCTTGTGTAATATGACTCAAGGACAACGGGGTTAACAGAAAAATTGGGAATATGGAGAACAGAAGATAGAGGTATGGTAGGAGTGACATGGACTAAACCTTTCCTAGAAATGGAAGAAACAGTACCATCGGCAATCCTAACTTTGTCCTGACCTGAAGAGGGCTTATAGACAGAGAAAAGGTTAGAGGAGTCAGACATGTGATCTGAGGCACCAGAATCAATAATCGAGGGTAAAGACTTATGAGACAAGAAAACACAAGGAGAAAATGCTAAGTTACTTAAGCGGGCAAACAACGAGGAAGATGTAGTAAGAGCAGTAAAAGACCGGCAGTCCAACAAGTGACGCAGAACATCCTCAAGCTCAGGAGTAGTCATGCCAGAGAGACCATCAGAAGGCTGGCCAACGGAAGCTAAAGTAGAATCAAGTGTATCAACGGTACTAGACTGACGAGCCCGTAGGTGAGAATCCCACCCTCTAGACTGGCCTGACCGACCTCCTCTAAAACCAGACCGATCACCTCGACCCCCGGATGGAACTTCCAACATGTCTCACAAGTATGCTGCGATTTTTTACAGTAATCATAGAATACAGATTCCTTGGCGGCAGACGAAGAGATGGAAGTCAGGCTAAGGCCATCTCTAGGAGTAAACAGTAATGCGGAGCAGTCAATAGAGACAGGAGACATCATAGCAGACCGACAACTCTCCTCATTCTGTATATAGGCAAATGCCTCCTGAAGGGAAGGAATAGTGTCCATACTCAGAACCCGACTCCGAACCGGATCATACTCCACATTGAGCCTTGCCAAAAACTTGAAGACCCTTTCCTGTGCAATGAACGTCATGTACCCAACTGAATCAGTAGTGCAAACAGGCTTATAGTCCTGCATGTGATCAAGGCGTTTCCAACCGTTGGTGAGGAAAGTGAAGTACTGGAGAACCGTCTGCTCCCCCTGAACAAAACTCTCGATAGAGCGGCGTAACTCAAATGCATGGGAGAAATTCCCTTTGCGGGAATAGGTAGCAGCCACTGCATCCCAAACATCCTGGGCAGTCTCCATAGACAAGTAGCCCTCGCCGATGTTTGGTATCACCGAATGAATAAGCCAACCCATAATCAAAGAGTTGGTAATCTCCCATTGGTCATAACCCGGGTTAGTGACGCTAGGTGCCTGTATTCTGCCATCAACATACCCCATCGTCTCTCTGCTCTTCAAAAATAGTCAAACTCTGCGACTACGCTAGATAATTCTAACCATTAAAGGGAGAGGTGGCGATTTTAAGACTAGGGTTGGGGTTATCAGTCATAGTAATAGATAGAATGGAACTCTCACACCTAGGTGTTTGAGAAGTAGTGGACACATTAGGGGAATCTGCCATGGAAACTATACGACTGAACCCTCAACAAAATTAGTACCAATCACAAACCCGGAAGGTGGTGGTGGAAGGAAAAACACAACTATCACTATGATAGCATAAAGAACTCATAGGCTAGCGCTATTATTAGGTAACAAGGCTACAAAGGAAGAGAAGACCTGGTCAAACAGATTGTCAAAGGATACAACAGATAGGGTACCAGTGTAGGCGAAGAACATTGACAGTGTCGCATGAGGCCAACGACGACATGGGGCTGTCGACTGGGCCAGAAAAGCTATCCGTGGCAGTCGGCAAGGCAAGACAAGACCACGAGGCCTGTCGGCAAAGACCAACAAGGGACGTCGATGCTTGCGGTGAAGATATCGACCAGCCCAAGTAAGGTTCAAACCCTAGACAGACATCAACCCAGACCCGAAACCACCTGGGTCTTTCTTAGTGTGAGCCGAAACCCCTAGGGGTGGAGTCGGCTGCTAAAGGGTAGTCACTGGTGGCGTAGGATGTCTCCGGCTGATGGCTGATGGCTGATGGCTGGTGGCTCCAGTGAGTAACAGGAATTATATGGATAGATGGGTTTAGGTTTTAGGGTTTTGCTCTGATACCATGATAAATTTAGAAAATACCAAGATTAGGGAATGATTAGGATATCATCCCCTACTTATATTAATGGAGATCAATAATTACAAAGGAGTCCCGAGACATAAAATAATTACAAAATAATAACCCAAATAATAATCTATTATGCTAACACAATGCAGTTATGAAGGATGGCAAGCTATGGAGCAGATATATGGATTAAGGGATTGGGATACGATATGATTTATTTATAGTGATAAGACAAGACTTCAAAAATAGGATATGGTATGACAATGATACTTTCGTAAAAAAAATATATATATATATATATATAAATTTTAGTATCGTATTACACATAAGCTCAAAGAATGGTGACAAACCATTTTAGAAATTATTAGTTTAAGATAGTAGTCAGTTCAGTTTACTCTTCTTTCTTTTTTTCCTTTTTTTTTTTTCTCTCTTTTTCTTATGTTTTTTGCAGTATGTCCTTTAAAAAATTCATTTCAATATCAAGTCTGAACTAGTTATATGGCACTTGTGCTTTTCCCTTTAATGTTTAAAAGTGTTATATGAAGTGTCTTTGTATGCTAGTTTATTTGCTCATTTAAATGTTGAAATCTGGTTTTAGTATCAAGACGTAAGCAAAATATTGAAAAACTATTCTTGTATTTATCCTAACAATAATAATCTAATATTATGCAAAAATTATTACAATCTCAATTTCATAATAGTTCAAATACGCAATCTAAAACATTTGATAGTTCTCAAAATTAAAGAAAATTAACCTATTGAACTAATTTATTTTAACATGGGGGAGAAAATATTGTAGTTCTAGTAGTTTTAACATTCCTCTACTCATTTATGCTAGCAGTCTTGCTTTCCAATAGTGAGAAGCACACTACATTGTTTTCAATTGTTCAATCACTTCATATAACTTTTTTTCTCTTAGTTGAATGAATGGAAACAAACTCTCTAGTGTATTTGTGTTTAGCTTTCACAACTTCACTGACAAATTTTTCTAATGCCCAACTAAGAAGAAAATTACTAGAAACGCACATGCATGAGAGAGAGAGAAAGAGAGAGAGAGAGAGAGAGAGAGAGAGAGAGAGAGTTCACATTTAGTGGTTGTTTGGCATGTGCTAAAATAGCACATGCTATTTTAGCACATTATCCTATTTAGGTCACAATCATCTTATTTAAGTCACATCACATCTCTACCACATCACTTCAAACCCAACCCATATTTCATGTTTTTTTTATAAAAAATCAAAAGGTATACTAATCTAGCACTTTCCAAACAACCCCTTCGTTCTCCATTGAATAGAAAATAAAGGACAGTGATGACATTCTGAAGAAAAGCAACAAACTGCTCACCATTGGCTTCCCAGATGGTAACATCATTTGCTCCTTTGTTGCATCCCGACGAACCATGTTGTCATGTCCAACCACCAGACCAGGTAAGTCCCTAAAATTTGCTCCCTGCAAACATAACAACTAAAGAGTCACAAGAGCCTAAAACTCAGACATCAATGTAACAACAAATTGATCAAACCTTTTTGTGTGGAATTTGACAAACTCGTAAATAATCATCCTCGGACAATTGATAAGGGCGATGGTCATGTAATATAGCCTTTTTTGCATCTTTAACTCCTTTTTGTGCAAATCCCATCATCTCTAGACAAATGAGGGGGGGGAAAAGTAAAAATATATTCAATACGAAGTCCCACGATCTCTCTGTTTCTCCCAATGCATACAAGTGAGGATGAGGAAACACAAAATAGTTGAGCATACACGATACAGCAGAGCAGTTATCTCATATTAAAGAAAGGAGGCATAAATTATTGCAGAATATAGATTCCCCGCAAATGAAAAACAAATGCAGGCAGCATCAACATAGATAAGAGCCCATATAAACACTCACATGTTCAACTCCTAATATATAGAAGCCACGAACTCAAATGTAAACCAAAAGTATTCAGTAAAAACGAAAAACATCACATATCCGAATTCAAATAAGCTTCATAATTAGAGTTAAATCTGATAAAGTAGCAGAGTGCCGGATGAAGAATGGCTATTAAAAAATCCGTTTGACTATCTAATTGATAATAAAATTAGAAATTATGGAGAATTGATCCAAAAGAGAAGATCAAAGGTTTCAAGAAGAATAAAAAGAAAAAAGAAGAACAATAGGGTCAAAACCCTAATCTCATAAAAACGGCCACAATCTCAACTCAATATTATTATTTTAAAGCTATCCTAAAGCTGTTACATAAAGCCATATATATTGTCAACATAGAAAACCAGAATTAAGTTACCAAAAATAAAATACTACTCTAATTTAACTTAAAACTCACAAATAAATAAATTACAAAATCTTTAACTTTCCTTTATCCAACACTTTTCCATCCCCAATCAATGACTGGATATCATCACTTCTTCCAATTTTGAAAATTTTCATTATCCAAACCAAACCAAGCCTTAAGTCCCATCAAATGGGGCTGGCTAAATTTTTCATTATCCAAGTTCACAAAATTTCACTTTCTTACAATCAGTAGTAGCTGTTATTATAGAATTGTAGTTAATTAGAACAAAAATTGGGCAATCACTAATCACTAAATGCCCCAACAGATGGAACTACTGACAACAACTTGTAGCAAATTTTAATTAACCTGTAAATATTGCTAAAAGCATATAAATCAGTGAGATCAACTACATATATCAAAAAGAGAAGGGATGACCTTAGGTCTAAAACTTTCCGAGTTTATGATGTGATCAAATCAGTCCACAATCAAGAAGAAATATGTATACCATGAAAACAACTAGTGAGTCAAAACCAATGCCCAGATTGAGGAAGCCATGCAGCAGAATATTCAACTTCAGTTAAAGAACAGGCATTTAAAAGATAATTTCATTACCATCTTTAGTTAACCTTATATATTTTTGAAACTCTGTTTCTGGAGGCATTCCGTATGTCATCTGCTCACGAATTTCATGGCTTGTGACCTGAAGTGTAAATTTATATGAGAAGACAGTGAAATTGTATCAAAACAGGAAACCAACAAAACTAAATATGAAAAAAATACAGCTGGAAGATCAGAGATGGCGTCTCGAAGAATGATAGGTTCTTCAAGTTCACGAGGTTCGCCTTCATCATAAGCTACGGTGTTTTGCTGCAACATGAAGGTCATGAATAAGAAAAACAGTACCGGAAAATCCAAATTGCCCCTTTAAGTTAAAGTAGTACCTCAAACTCAAGGGGAGGCCAATTTCTAACAACAACATCATGTGTAGGAAGTGGATATTGGGGTAGTTTCTGCAAGGAAAATGACATTCATGAATTGTTTTCTTGTATTACCACATGGACAAAAAAGCACTCAATTCAATCTTACATAGTATTCAAATGAGTCTATTATTTTTAACATAGCCTTTGGATGAACAGAATATGCAAATGCATTTGTCCATTGCTGTATTACATTGCATTTCAAAGTCTGTTATTTTTCATCTCAATCAAAAAATTCATTCATTGAGGGTAAATTAAGTATCAGTTAATTTGTGGGAAGAACGCTTCTATTGATCATTACAGTGGGTACAGATGGTTATGTTCTTAATTGACAGAGACACAATGAGAAGACAATCACCTCACTAGGAAGAGCACCCCACAAGAAAACGCGCAACCGAAATTGAGGAAGACCATAACAGCCGGCAGCCATAGTTCCAAGCCTTGCTTGGTATTTCATATTTACTAAACGACTTAATGCATATCTTGCAAGAGAAGCTTTATCAAACTTTAAAATGTCAACGACATTTTCCATCAAGACATACTTAGGCCTTAGGAACTTCACTATGTCCATAAAGACAACTATTTGATGGTTTCTTTCATCATCCAATGGGGCATCAATATTTCTATAGCGATTAAAGCCACTAATCCCTTGGCATGGAGGGCCCCCACAAAGCACATCAACATCACCCTGGAATAAATTAATTCATTGAGTGTTATTTGATGGTTTCTTTCATCATCCAATAAATTTATAATAAAGTGAACACTCCCAGTCTCCCATACTCAGCATTCAGGTTGTACAGTTAGAAAAAGCAACTTACCGGAAGTGGCAAGATTTTAGATTTAAATCCACTTCTAACAAAATCCTGTATTCGTTCTTGGCAGTTACTGAGACAAATACATATCTGTAAGTAATAATGCAGCACCAAGTCGCTGAGAAAGAACCATACTAATAGTGATGAAAAACAAGAAAAAGAACAACAACATAAGTTTAAAATAGTTGTTATTTTGTGTAGTCATTGCTGTTGTTCTTAATGTTATCAATGTTAATGGTACTAGGTCATGTTCATATTATTATCTAAAGACAAAAAGTACTAACCTCAATGCTTCAATTGGTTCCCATGTATCTTCACTTGAACTATATCCCTTCCAGCGCACCTAATAAAATAGCTATAAGTGAAAATCATCTTCACCAAACTAAAATTATAAACAAGGATGATGAATCCGACCTCTACTAAATTAAAATCAAACAGAAAATATCAAAAACTTGAGCAAATGGTACCATACCTGCAAGACTTTGCTCAATGTCACAGTTGGCAAGAACTAGTTACTTATCGTTAAAAACAACTCAACTTGCATATTCTGTTAGCATATATGATGGATAAAACTTTCACGTGTTGTGGTAGCTGATAAACTTTAGTTATATATAATAAGTAATGAAGGTCAACATAGCAAATTGTTGACAGCACTTTCCAACAGTCAATAAATGATGGATGAAATTGATGAAATGACAAATTTGCAGCACGTGATATCTTAGGCAATTGCCACAGAGGATATGATATTACACATTATTGCAAAGTAGGAAGTTTATGGGATAGATATATATTTGCATGATAGACACTGTACAAATAGCTTTAAACATACACAGATTTTTGAAAAGCTCAAAACATATATAACTACAAGAGGTAAATCTTAAATTGCATGCTTTTGTTTGTTTCTAACCTACAAGTTATGATATCAACTATATAGCTGTAAGTGCATTCATAGTTTAATTTATGATAACAAAGATCAGGTGTTCATCAATACCCACTAAAATAAAATAAAAAAGATCCACGTGTTTGTCTCATAGAAGCAATTAACTAGATTGCATTGAAAACCACATAAATTAATTTTATTTACTGAATTTATGCTCAGCATCCATATATTAACATTGATACAAGCCAAAGGAGAGATGATAAATAACTTTTAAATCAAGATGATGTGACTAGTTAGTTAGCTTAAGTGGTATTAGTTAGCCCAAGTGACTACTAGTTAGCTTAGGTGGCATTTGTTAGTTAGCAGTAAGTTTTGGATTAATGCTCAGTTTGACCCTGTTTTGGGGCAGCTGAAACAATTGTAATCGAGTTGCAAATCTGTTTACAAAGACGTCTGAATAAATAGAGTCCAAGCATAACAGAAAAAAAGGGAGAGAATTGTAATCAGTATTCTTTAAAGAAGTACAATTCTAGAAAGTTTCTTCTCGTTTTTGTTCCGGTTTGTGAGAAACTGTGTGAGCTCTTGCTCCTTGGTTAAGGCTTGTAACAAACATAGTCACAAACAAAGACATTTTGAATTTATAAAGGCACATGAATGTCGTTAAACCTTCCAACAAGAGAGAATATATACACATATGTACATATATTATGTGTACTTTTGGAGGTACCTTAAATTTTAGCCCACGCTTGCCTGATTTGCCTTGATCTTCATAACAAATATCAACTAAGCGCAAAACTTCAAATTCTCCAGCAGAGATCTTAACATCAGATGGAGAATTTAAATTGCTTTTGACTTCTCTCGTGTCGTCTTCTCTAGATTTAAGTGTTGTATCTAAATTATTGAAAACATACCATTGGCATAGCTTTTCCCATCCCTTCAAAAGTTCTAGAAAATCCTCAGCATTTTCATTTCTAACCTATAGAAAGAAACATATAACTATTACATATCGCCTCAAGAGTCCAAAGAGAAGTGGCCATCACTAGGTTGTGCACTAAGACAAGATGAATACACACTTGTGTTTCTGGATGATTCAGTTTCAAGCTATCACAAGCAGAATTATCAGCGTCAACTGCCCATCTCTGAAAAAAGGGCGAATAGAACAATATGTAAGGTTGCAGGATAAATAAAAAAGATTTTTAAAAAATCAAGTATTACCAAAAACTTAATTTTATTAATTACCGTCACAAGATTAACACTTGAAAGTTTGGCCCCTAGGCACAATCCAGTTGACATTCCACCACAGCCAGAGTAAAGATCTAATAATGCCAACTCAGCTTTGTAAGGTTCACAATGGGTCATTTCCTCCAATGGAGTTGCGGTAATCATTAAAGTCTCAATGTCATCACGCAAAGATAAGTCACAGCTCTCTACAGAATAATCTGATGCAATGTCAAAAGGATTTTAATTTGATAATCAAATAAACCTTAACTAGTGAATTGTATTAGGATTTCTTGAAAACTCATAATCAAGGAAATAATGCAGACATAAAAAATAAACAAATAAAAAAGAGGCAATCGTACAAATATACCCCCAAAAAAATATGTGAATCAAAGATAAATATCTTAGGAATTCATTGGGATCTGAACAATGCGATAGAAATCCTTAAAAAGTAAAATTTTGAAGAAAATATTATTTACAATTTTAGAAGTGTCAAAATCAAATTAAGCAAATGACAGGATTCAACTTCCAATAGATCATAAGTAAATTAGAATTAGGCCAACATACTCTCACGAGGAAAGATGGAGAAATTCTGAGTAGAAATATTCCTTTATTGACCAGAAGGAAAAAAAAAAGAAAAAGAAAAAAGGTAAACATTGTCCTTGTAGTGTTTAACACATTCAAATTTGGCCAACAACTAAAATTGATTTGTAGCTGCAAACCCAGCCATGGAATCTCTTTTCCGCTGTACAAAGTTGACTCCGCCAAAAATAGATCTATTGAAGGAAATTTGAGCAAAACCTCCTCATCCTTTAGTTGCTGCAACATACATCTTGCTATTATCCTGAGCTGATTATAGTCTTTACCATTTTTTTTGTTCAAGTGCTAGCACTGTTTATATCACAACCTAATACCATAACCACTATTAACACTCTTACCAGTCAGCAAGGTGCGAAATGTTGAATATTCCACACAGTACTCCATATCATAATAAAAGTCAGACCGTGGAAAAGAGTTCAGTTGCAGACCTAGCTGCACATGATGAAATTATGAACGATGCAACATTAAAAAAAAGGGGCATGGATAAAGACAATGCTTTTTTAAGAAAAAATATATAGTTATGGCATAAGCCACAATTGAAAGCATGTATTTAAGAGCTATACAGACTACAACTGCATACCGTTGGAGCTACTTGAATGACAATGACTTTTGAAATAATGCAATCTAATAAATTATCATTCATTAAAGTAGAATAGAATAAACGCTTCTTGTCATGGCAAGCAGCTTCTTCTTTCATAACCTGGAAGAAAAAGATAAAAAAAGAATCACAAATTATATGGCAAAGCACTAGGGCATGAAGGAAAATATAAAAGTTATGCATACTCACAGTATCTTCAGCTCTAAAAAACCACTGAACCCTAAAATAATCCTTGCCATCCGTTGTTTTGAAAAATTCTAAGATCCTGCCAACATGTTTTTGTCTTCCATCACCCTGAAGGAATTTATTAACATGTAAATCTTACCTCATCTTTAAAACATAGACAGATGGTTGAATTTTAAAAATGACATCACTCATTCAGAAATTCCAATATGATGCGACTGTCTAATTATGAAAAACCTGAATAAAGTGATAATTCACGTACATAAAAACATTAATTACTGTTAAAGAAAATTTAGGTTACTTGTTCACCACTCTATTGTACATAAAAACATTAATTACTGTTAAAGAACATTTAGGTTAATTGTTCACCACTCTATTGTAAGCCATAAATAGGCCTCTTATTGTAATAGCTAGGTATCAGTCTCAATGCAATCTTTTTATTTACGACCAAATCCCATTGTTAGATCACCATTGGTCCCAAAAGCTTTAAGTTGTTAGGAAAGGCGCCTAACATTACATATTAAGCTCTCCAACACCCTCTCTCACATGCAACCCCATCTAGCACATCGACACTCAATCATCCAAATATAGAGAGAAACGTAAAGCAAATGGGAATACCGAAAGATTTGATCTTAAGACCTCCCCCAACCTGAGCTCTATACCATGTTAGATTATCACTAGTCCTACAAGCTTAAGTTGTTAGGAAAGGGGTCAAACAATGCATATCAAGCTCTACAATACCAATATAGTTACCGTAATTAAATTCTTATTTACCAATTGAAAAAAAGATTTGATGTACCACCAAGAACATAAGAAAGAATGAAGAAAAAAATAGAATAAACAAGGGATCACAATCCAATCAAATCTCTCAATAATCAATATTCATATCAAGTATAATCCCAAAACTATTAAATAAAGCATATATATAGGCATTCTAGAAAACCCTACTTAAATTAACCAAAAATAAAACACGACAATAATTAAATCCTAATAAAACCTTATAAAATAATAAAATCCAATAAATATAAAACATTTCCAAAATAATTCACTAAATCTTTAAAATCCAATAAATATACAACATTACCAAAATAATTCACTAAATCTTTATCCAATGCCTTTTCGATCCCCATAAAAGACCCTATATGGTCTTCAATTTATAACCCACTATGAAGAGAAACCAAATAAGTTACTTGCTAGCAATTCACAATGGCCAACCTCTGCAGCCTCAGCTGCACTGTAACAGTGATCTGCCTCTTTAATTTAGATGGATATTATCTGGGAATGCCTTATAACATCTGTTGCCTTCTGTTAAGTGTTAGGGGTAGTTTGGTCTTTATGTATTATTCTTATTAGTATATATAGTTGTGTGTAAGGGGGAAACCCTATGTTTTTTGAATCAAATTATACAGCTGCTGTTTCTCCCTCGCTCTCTCTCTCGGTTGAACTTCTTCTTCTCCTTCTCATCTATACATTCAACATGGTATTAGAGAAATATCTTCCTCCTTGAAGATTGTTCCTCTCCTTCTTCCCTCGTTCTTGTATCCGGTACGTTTCCAAAACAAAAAAAACAAAAAAAAAATTACAATATGCTCGAAAATTAATGGGCATTCTTCCTATAATTTCCTTTTGATTTTTTGGTTATTATTCATTGTGTTTTCCAATTTTTTTGATTTTTCGTCAAAAATTGGTGACTTTTTGAAAGTCACTTGTTGCACCCTTTTTTGATTGATTTTTCCCTCCCTCTCACATCTTGGGGAGCCGACTGACCCTCTAGAGGGGTTTGTTGTCCTTGTTTTGCTGTATTTTGGCTCTACCTTGGCTTTTTCCTGAGTTTTGGATGATCTGCTTCAATGTTTGGGCTCCTAGTTGATCTGGTTGCTTTATTCTGGGATTATTTTGCACTGTTTCAGCCTTAGAATGTTCTTTGTTGTGCTAGTTAGGTGTTGTCAAGCTTTGTTTGATATCCTGCTTGTGTTTCTAAACCATCTCTCTCTTATCTCATGGCTAAACGCGGGGGTCAGTACTCTAAGGGCAAGGAGAACAGTGGACTGAGTCGTGGTATGCCTCTTGGTGATAGTCCTTCTCTCCAGATTAGTCCGGTCAAGCTTAATGGCACCAATTACTTGATTTGGTCCCACTCTTGCAGTCTTGCCATTGCCGCTCGGCATTTGACTGGCTATATTACTAGTAGCACCCAGCCATTTACTGAGGATAGTACTTTTTCTGCTCATTGGATTTCTGAGAATGCTTTAGTGATGACCTGGCTGATCAATTATATGGAACCTACCATTAGTAGGACTTTTCTCTTGATGGATACCATTCACAAGATCTGGATAGCTGCATCTCAGATGTATTCTCAACAGGGCAATGATGCCCAGGCCTATGAACGACGGAAGAAGATTAGGGGCTTGAATCAGAAGGATCGCTCTCTGGCCGTCTACTATGTTGAGTTGAGTGGGTTATGGTAGGAGCTAGATTTCTACTAGAGTTTCCAGCCAATTTGCTCCACAGATGCCACCATAGTTCAGCAGGCTGTGGAGAAAGAGCGAGTGTATGACTTTCTTGCAAGCTTGAATTTCGCGTCTGATCAGATACGGGTTCAAGTGTTAGGTCGCTCTCCGTTTCCCACCTTGTGTGAGGCTTATACACTGATTCAATAGGAGGAGAGTCGTCGTAGTGCTATGGTGCATGCCCCTATTCAGGATCGGTCCACGATGGTTGTTGGCCCTCAGTCACGTGATACTTTGCCTTGTCAGCCTCAGGGTGGTGGTAAGGGTCCATTGGTTGATCGGGACCGGTTGAAGTGTGACTATTGTGGGAAAGATAGACATGATAAAGAACACTGTTGGAAGTTGCATGGTCGGCCTACTCGAGGCCGTGGTCGTGGTCGTGGTCGTGGTCGTGGTCGTGGTTGTCAAGCACATGTTTCTGAGACTACTGCTAGTGCCTCAGATGATGCTGGTTCTATTTCCCAGGGTGAGCTTCACACTCTCAGACGTTTGATGGCTCGACTTGATGCTTCATCTAGCTTAGCTCCTTCCTCTTCTACCTCTTCTAACTTTGCCCACACAAGTATTTCTACTAGTACACTTAATACCTCTTCGTCATCTCCTTGGATCATTGATTCCGGTGCTACCAATCACATGACGGGTACTTCTAGTTTTTCTATTCTTATTCACCTAGTTCTGGGTGAGATAAGGTTAGAGTGGCTAATAGCACTTTATCTTCTATCTCCGGCAAGGGTTCTATTCATTGCACCTCTTTACTTACGCTTTCATCTATTCTTCATGTTCCTAATTTTTCTACTTACTTTCTGTTAGTAGCCTTACTACTGCTCTCAATTGCTCTGTAACCTTTTTTCCAACTCATTGTGTCTTTCAGGAACTGGCTACGGGGAAAATTGGCAGTGGTAGAGCACCAAGTGGACTGTATTTTATGGATGCCATTCCTACATCAACTTTGTCCTCTCAGGCTCTTCAATGCACTTTTGACTCCTCCCTTCGTCTTCTTCATCAGTGGCATTGCTATTTGGGGCATCCTTCCTTTAGTATTTTAGAGAAACTTTTTTCCTTCCTTAGTTCAAGATTGTCCTAGAAATAACTTTGCTTGTGATGCTTGTGAGCTTGTTAAGCATAAATGTACTTGTTATTCTTCAATTAATAAAAGAAGTACTTTTCCTTTTATGCTTATTCATACCGATGTGTGGGGTCCGTCCCCTGTGGCTTCTACCTCTGGTTATCGGTGGTTTGTCACGTTTATTTATTGTTATTCCCATGTGATTTGAATTTATTTACTTCACACTAAAAATGAGGTTTTCTTGTGTTTCAAACCTTTTCATAAAATGGTATCCAATCTCTTCAATGCTACTATCCAAATTCTTTGAAGTGATAATGGGACTGAATATGTTGATGGAGCTTTCAGGGTGTACCTCCAGGAGCATGGCATTCTTTATTAGACTAGTTGTGTTGGCACTTTTGAACAGAATGGAGTTGCTGAACGCAAGAATGGCCACCTCCTTGAGGTTGCCTGCTCTCTTTTGTTTACCATGAACGTTCCTAAGTTTTTTTGGGGGGATGTTCTTATTACCGCGGCTTACCTTATTAACCGTATGCCCTTTAGTGTCCTCCACTTCCAAATTCCTCTTCAGCTTCTTCCTGTGACTTATTCTACTTCTTCCCTTCCGCCTCGGGCGTTTGGTAGTGTCTGTTTTGTTCATTTTTAACCTTATACTTGTGGGAAGCTTGATCCTAAGGCTGTCCGGTGTGTCTTTCTTGGTTATTCTGCTACTCAAAAGGGCTACAAATGCTATGACCCTCACACTTAAGCTGTATGTTAGTATTGATGTCACCTTTCGTGAATCTGAGTCTTTTTTTTCTTGTCCTCCGCTATCTCCTCAGGAGGAGAGTGGTATAGATTAGATTGCAGATGAGACGGCATCATATCAGCATGAGTTGTCTTTTTTCCTCCCTACTCAGCGGGCTGTTATTTGTGGTGAGGGGGAGCCTAACAGTTCTATTGATGAGGAGTCAGATATCAGTGGTCGTTTAGACAGAGTTGATCTTAAGACTTATTCACGGCGTCAGAAAGAGCAGGCTTCTCTTGTGCCACCAAGTCAATCATCATCTCTTATGCCAGTTCTGATGATTTTAGAGAATACCAAGATTAAGGTATGATTAGGATATCATCCCCTATTTATATTAATGAAGTTAATAATTACAAGAGGAAGCCCTAACTCAGAATAATTACAAAATAATAACCCAAATAATAATATATTATTCTAACACTCCCCCTTAAGCTGGTGCGAGGATATCTCTCATGCCCAGCTTTCCTAAGATGTCATGAAATGGCTTACTTCCAATTCACTTGGTGAGGATGTCAGTAAGTTGTTCACCAGACCGCACAAAGAGAGTACATATTGTGCCACTAGTGAGTTTCTCCTAAATGAAGTGACGATCAATCTTAACATACTTTGTTCTATCATGTTAAACCAGATTGTGAGCAATGTTGATAGTGGCCTTATTATCACAGTATAACCGCATAGAGTCTGTTTGAGCAATACCTTTATCACTCAACAATAACTTGATCCATAAGAGCTCACACACTCCTTGTGC